TCAGCTTTGGTTTTGGTCTCTCGTTCCACAACTTTGAACCGTTCCATTTGCTGTGGAGAGTAGTTGATGGAGAGCTCTCAAAGGTGGGGCAGAAATATAAGGGCCAGCAAAGCTAGAAACAGCCCGGGGACCTCCTCTCTCACACTGAGCCCTTCCCTCGGGTGGCTGGCACCCAGGGCATAGAAGTGTGCAGCAGCCTGGAGCTCGAATCAATCCTAACCCCGCCCCCCCCCCCCCCCCCCCCCAGTCCCAGGTTTTGGTTTCCTACCGTTTCAATGAGCTTGCGGTTTTCGATGAGCTGCCTTTTGTCCTTGATCTCGTTGGATGCTACCCATGTCTTGATCTGGTCCCTCAGCCGCTGAAGGGAGAAGCAGCAAGGAAATCAGGCTGCAGGCCTAAGAACTGGGGCCCTCAGTGACAGTGTGTCCCTGGGACCCAGCAGTCCACTCTCCCCATCCCTCCTCCCATAGGACAACAGAGTCCAGCCCCAGCCCCCTCACTTGTAGCTTCTTAATCTCCTTCTTTAGGTCAGCCTCATACTTTTCTTTCTGGTTCGCGTTGGCTGCATTGTGGAGCTGAGGGATGAAGAATTCAGCAGTCAATGTGAGTGCGGCTGCCCAGAGCTCGCCATAGCAGTAAAGGTCCAGTCTCTGTCTTCCTTGGCTGGGAAATCTAAGACCCTCTTCCCCACAGTCCATCTTAGAGATGCTCCCTGGTCAACACCCTGAGACTCGGATGCTTCTCCCCACAGACCCAGACTTTGAGTTTCTTAGGCTGTGTACCTTTTGCCAAATATCTTCAAACTGCTCCACGCCTTCGGACACCTTCTTGAGGCAGCGATCAATCTCACCTGGCCAGGGAGGAAGACTGTTAGGATCCTGCCAAGACAGCAAACATCTGAAAACGAGTTCCCAGAAGAGAGGGCATGCGGCCACATTTACAGGAGGCAGCCTGTTACCTTGGAGTTTGCGCTTGTCCGCCATCTTCCCTGCCCTACAGACGAACTCTCTTCATACTCTCTTGGAAGCGGACGCTGCTGGGAAAAAATTGGGTAGGACTTAACATCTGCTGTCTGGCTAGTCCAAACCCAGGGGCATGCTGGGAGCCATGGGGCAGGTAGGACGTGGAGGAAAGAGACAGTTAGGTGCCCTCTTTCCCCCGAAGATGGAGCTCAGGGCCTTGCACACGCAAGCATTCTTCCGTCGAGCTCCATCCCCATTTCCTAGCTGATAAGGCAGAGCCGGCCTGTTCCCACATCCTTTCAGCTGCCCAACACACACAGAGACGGGCAGATCAGATTCTGGGAAAGCGCTGAAACGAAGACTGCCCTATCTTATCTGGGGGCCTCTGAGTTAGGAAGCGCACACTGCTAGAGTGGAGTGTCTGCTCTCTAGATGACACCACGGCACATGCAGTTCCCAGGTGGACTGCCGGGGCGGCGGCGTGAGCCCCAGACATGAGGGTTCTCAACAGGCTGGGAGCAGAGGGGACTGGGAGAGGCCACTCCAGGCAAGTCGGGTGTGTGTGTGTGTGGGGGGGGGAATGCAGGAGGCTGGGGGCTCCTGGGAAGGGAGAGGTGCTGAGTATACACAGACACAGGTGTGAACTGAAGGGGACGAGTGACAGGGGACTTCGGAACTATGAAGACCTAGACCTGCTCACACAGGACAGGGGTCAAACACTTCCAAGAAACGTATTTCACAGCAGAATCCTGCAGCCCCAAGCACAAGAGTCTGACTGTAAAAACAGTTAGAAAGGTGGAAGCAGCCCTTTCTAACTCAGAGGGGGCTGGGAGGAGACAGAAAGCTTACAAAGACAAGAGGGCAGGCAAAGAGGCACCTGAGCTGCGAGAGAGCACATCTGCACACGTGGAGGAATTCCATATTAGACACACTGGCAATTCAGACCCAGAAACATGAACCCATGGGGCAGAGAACAAAATGCACAGAGGGGCATCTAGTTTTATTCTGAAGGAAGGTGAGCTGAACTCAGAGGGGCCTGAGGACAAAGGATGAAGAAAGAGGGGATGGTACCTTATACAAAGGGAAACCCACACTACAAAACTTGACTCTGAAACAGGGCAACCTGGAGAGGGAGGGTCATGCAAAGAGGATTTCTGAGCTGCTAGTAGAAGCTTGTCCCCCCTGGGGTATATTTAAAAGCAAGGCTCGGTCTGGGTGCTGGTGGCACACACCTTTAATCCCAGCACCTGGGAGGTAGAGGCAAGTGGATCTCGAGGCCAGCCTGTCTCCAAAAACAAAAAAAAAAAAAAACAAAAACAAAAAAAACAAGAGAGAGACAGAGGCACACACAGAGAGATTTCTTAGTCTTTGTAACAGATCTTTCAGCTCTCAAAGAAACCTAGGACAAGGCTCACTCAGTACCTGTGACTCCTCCCAGCC